ATGACAAAAATTAGATGATTTTTTAGGGGGAGGGGGTAAAAAAAGTTAAAATTATATATAAGAACCTGATTTTTTTTACATTAAGAGGGGAGGGGAATAAGCCTTTGATAAAAAATAATCAGGTGATAAATGTCACTGCTCTTATAATATTATATAATTAATAATAAATAGTTAATTTCTATTCTTACACTATGTGTACATACATACATCACATGATCATGTATTTACTAATAAAATTATATTAAAAAAATTATATATATTTAATATAGAAATTATTATCATTATAATTTTATAGCGATTAATAAACAATTAATTTATTGCATTTGCATAATATTATAGAACAATTATGTCATATTACAAGTAACATCACTGCCAGATTGCAATTATCAAATAAAACTACCCTAACCTAACTAACAGCAAAAATGATAAATCCAAGACACCCTAACCCTAACTAACAACAATAATGACGAAATACAAGACACCCTAACTCTAACTAACAACAGATAACAATAATTTTAATAAAAAAATACCTTTACCACTCTGATAAATGACAAGGCCATGAAATCAGTTTATTTCACTATTTAATAACAACAACACCAACGAAGTAGGGAAAGAAGAACGGTATTAGAAAGTGAAAAATGCAGTATTACTTGAACATTTTTACTACCAGAAAAACAAAACCGGAATACTGGATGAAGTGTACAAATAAAAGAAGAAATGGGCATTAGAAAAGTGGACAAACGAAACTACTAAAAAAAAGAAATGAGCATTACTTGAACATGTTTCACAACTAGAAAAGCAAAAACAAGTAATATACCTATCCAAAATAGAAGCCTAGCTATAGACTGGAATGAAAAAATAGGTATTAGAAAAGTGAACAAACAAAAATCACCAGAAAAAAAATAGACACATTACTTAAATATGTTTCACAACTAGGCAAACCAACAAGCAAGTACAATATACCCACTCGAAACCAAAAGCCTAACTATTGACAAAGCAGAAAACAAGCTCTGAAATGAAGAAATAGGTGTTAGAAATGAAAATCACCAGAAAAAAATAGACATGTTACTTGAATATGTTAGGCATAGACAAATCAGAAAACAAAACTACCTGGAATAAAAAAATAGGCGTTAGAAAAGTGGACAAACAAAAATCATCAGAAAAAAGAAATAGACATGTTATTTGAGCGTGTTTTATAACCAGACAAACAAACCAACAAGCTAGTACAATATACCCACCCGAAACCAAAAGCCTAACCATTGACAAAGCGAAAAATGAACTCTGGAATGAAGAAATAGGCATTAGAAATAAAAATTGCCAGACACATTACTTGAACATGTTAGCTATATACAAAGTGAAAAATGAAACTACCTGGAATGAGGAAATAAGTATTAGAAAAGTGGATAAACGAAAATCACCAAAAAAAAAAATAGACATGTTACTTGAACGTGTTTCACAACCAGGCAAACAAACCAACAAGCAAGTTCAATATACTCATCTAAAACCAAAAGCCTAACCATTGACAAAGTGAAAAACAAACTCTAGAATGAAGAAATGGGCGTCAGAAACAAAAATTACTGAAAAAAATAGACATTTTGCATGAACATGTTTCCAGTTAGGCAACAAAACAAAAAATAAATACAACAGGCAAATAAATAGACCCACCCAAAATTAGAAGCCTAATTCCAGATGAAGTGGACAAACGAAAAACTATCTGGAAAGAAGAAATAAGCATTGTGTTAGTTCAAACATGTTTCACAGCCAGAAAATAAAAACTGCAAGCACAATAAAATAGGCATACCTGAACTGAAACTAAATCAAAGATTTGTGAAGAACAAGCAGTGACTACCAAATCCTCTACCTGAAAAAAAAGAGATTATCATTATAAAAAAATAAATTAATGATTATCAATAATGATCACTAATTATATATCCTTGTGACCACAATAAATAAATTTTATCTGATCTATCTTGTGTAACTATATGTTGTACACATAGTATAAATTAAGAAATTTTCTAATAAATAAAATATAAATAAAATATAATAATAATATATTTATAATATATTTATTATATATATATTTTGTTTTTTTAAAACGGACATGTTCTGCTTATACTTTATTGATTATTAATTAAACTAAAAATTACAAAGAACTTCTAGCAACTAATCTATACCAAAGCACGTAGCTCACCAAGCCAAATGGCCCAATGCGACAGTTGCCCGGTGTTTCTTGGCCTCTTCTTGAGTCTCCGATGTGCAGAGACTTTTTTCCCTCAGTTCATTGCTGAGGTTTACACTAAAACCCATATCCATATTATCTTTTCTTTTGAAAATAAGAAACACTAACACAAATACAAAGGGCAAATAAAACTAAAAGGGGTTATACCTTGAAGCCTAAGATCTGATCCACCTATAATAACAAATAAACCAAATAAAACAAATAAGAAAACAAACAAAAAAGAAAAAAAAACAAAGATAGTACTATTAAGCCTGTACAAGACTATAAAAATTATATAGTACTACTAAATAACTAGTTTAAACTCTATACTAGTATTTATGTCTATATCTAGGATGTAAAAACATTATCAAAACCATCCATTCTTGAGTAGAGATCCAAGTTCGAAATTTCTAAAGCATACTTCAAGAAAACTTCTGCAACGTATTTATAGTCTTTAATAATCCTAGACAAAGTTAACGACTTATTGCTTGTTCCAAAAGTATAGCCAATAGTCTCAGTGTAATACCGTAACCTCTTGAGGAGTAACTAATCATACATTATTCATCCCAAAGCAATCACGTACATACGCACGTGTTTTTTCTTTTTTGGCAGTGATTATTGTTGTTGATCCTTTGATGGAAGCATGCCGAATTTCCTACTTTTTGGTGAAATTTCAAGAAGTGCAAAGAGTGGGGTGTCGAGAAAGATTTTAGTTAGCAGGTAGCCTTAAACTTCGGAATGTGTTGAAAACTCGCTTGCTGTTCTCCTAGACCAACTTTACTTTTTTTTTTTTTTTTTTTTTGGTGTTAAGGTGGCCTCTTGGCCGGCTCTTTTTATTTGGTTATAGTTAACTTTTACAATATGCGTTTATAGCATCTCGTATACATATTTGGAGAGTACATACTAGT